TCCCAAGAAATGAAAGGACTAAGCAAAGCAAGCCTGGTGAGAGTGGGAGATGTTTTCTGCTGAGCTGTGTGGGCAGACGGCTCGGGTACACGGCTGTACATCTGGCAGATAGATTTCTGTCAGCAGCTCTCCAGTGACAGGCTGCCTGCCTTTCAGGAAGAGGATCAGATCTGCGGGTCCATGTTGTGAACACCTAAGCACACATTGCCTGCTCCTAAAATGGCTGCCCTTGAAGCTCAGCTCAAAGGAGGATCTGAGCTGCTCAGGCGCTGTCTGCTGGGGCCCCGGCTGACTAGATGAAAGCAGTTGCACAATCTCGCCCATTAGCTTGGTGTGGTGCAGAGACTTACTGGCTGAAAAGACACAGCCAACTGCAAGGCAGATGGTGGACTGAGAAGGAGGTTTCTCTTCCCCACTTCACGGCTGTATTCCTCTCCCCTCCTTCCTAAAGGACTTCTCTTGATATCCATGTCAAGGAACCTTGTGTCAGGAGCCAACTTTGTTCAAAACAGGAGCAAAGTGCCAGGAGAGGGGTGTGGACATGTGATGAGGCTGTAACCTGACCCTGAAGAACAATGGATCCACTGGTTGCTCAGGGACATGCAGGCAGTTGGGCTGGTTCCCTTGGTGTGCTTCACTACCCAGCCTTTAAGGTTTGGGAGGTAGGGCGGGAGGAGTAGTCTCTTCGTTTAGATCATGTCAAATTTGAAAACAAACTCAAAGTAAAAAAAAAAAGTTTGGCTTAAATATCAGTTGATTCTGAATACTAAAGTTATTTCTGATTCTTTAAAATCTAGATTTAAAATGATTATTTATTTCAGCCAAAAAGATTGTTTTTAATAGGAAATCCCTGGCATCCATGAAAGGAAAATTAACTTGTGGATTGTTTAAACCCTTCCCAATAATCAATGGAAGATCCTTTTTTTCCAGCTACCAAACTCTTCTTAGTAATGTAGTTTGTAGTTTTTCGAGCTGGTATTTTCTACCATTCCTCCACGTCTTTGAGGTTTAAAGCCTATCTGCCATCCCTCTTATCTTTAGACCACCATAATCTATACCAGGGGTGTCAGATTGGTTTCAGAAAGGGGCATGTGGCTGCTGGTTTTCTTTCCAGCCAAGCAGTAGCGTTCCAGACTCAAGGCATCTCAAGTGAGGCCAGTCTTAACATGATAACTTAATGAGATGAATGGTGTGCTACTGCTTATTTCCTTCCTGGAACCATTTTGACACCCCTGATCTATATGTTTCAACAACAGGTGTTAACAAAACTACTTGCTAACCTGGTTTCCTTCTCTATTTAAACACTTAACAAGTCTTCCCTTCAATAATAACCTTTCTGAGACAGATCTGTTAGAGCACCATCCACTGTGCCCTAAACCTAGGTTTAAGATATAGAGATAATGATGAGTTCTCTTGTCTTGTTTCGAAGAAGGATAATGGTGGTGAGCTTTATCTTAGGTTATATTTAAATACAAAGGAATTTTTTTTTTTATTATTAAATGTTACTACTAGCTTACAAAAGTTTTTTTAGTGGTTTAAAAAGAGGATTTTAGCCTAACCCTCCATCCCTTAATCAATTGCAAGGCTATTTACATACTTAAAGCTTTTGTTCCAGTAAAATTGTCCAATTTAATGCCATTTGATCACATCACCTCATGCTCAAAAAGTGGAGGGACTCAAAGTCCAAATGTTTTTTTTTTTCTTTTATTGGTAAGCATCTGTTTAGTAGTCGACCTTTGCAAATTGTTCTCTCCAATGTGAAGTGTGAATATAAACCTGCAAACATAAAACATGTAGAGAACTTCTCAGCTTATGCACAGACAAACAAGGTGTATTTTATTTTCAGTATCCAAATGTGCAGTACAAATTCTGGAATAAGTATTGTAATTATTATCACCCACCCCTTGTAGTCCTGCCCCGTATGGCGTCATTTAGGAGATGGGTATAATCCAAAGTAAAAATAGAGTAAAATAAACTAAAAAAATAATAAATAAATATATAAAAGATAGATAAATAAGATAAATAAACTCAAAATAAAAAAGGGGGGTTAAGGTTTAATGTAAGATGCAGTCAGAGGAGAAGGTTCCAGTAGGAATTGAAGGATAGTTGCTAGAGAGTCAAATATAGATTTTATGAAATGGGTGAGTTTCGGGCAGGGCCAGGACATATGATAGAGGCTGGCAGCTTCCTGTTTACATCTATCGCAGACTGAGTCTAGTTCAGGATAAATCTTAGCCAATTTCTCTTTAGTGTAATTAAGGCGATAAACCTCTTTGAATTGAATAACACTGTGTGTCACCCATATTGAAGAGGAGTGAATCCTTTTTACCACCAGCTCCCAAGTTTCTTCTGACATAGATCTTTGCATATCATTCTCCCATCGAGTTTTGAGAGGTTCAGTGGGTACCAGGCTAAGGGTATTGATTGTATTATAGAGTTTAGTTATGTAGCCCTTTCTCGCAGGGTTAACATCAAGGATGTTATCTAATGTATTTTTGGACGGAAGGGCTGGAAATTGATAGAATTTAGAGCGAATGAAATCTCGAACCTTTAAATTTCTCAGATAGCTGATTAAATGAAGCAAAAGTTCCCCATATATAAAGGTCTTCCAGGGTGCATATACCCTTTGGTCTCTAAATCTCAAAGGCATTGTCAGAAATAAAGGGGGGAAAGGCTGGATTATTTTTAGATTATTAGATTATTTGGAGAACCAAAATGTGGGTCTTTGAATTTGAAAAGCCTGTCTAAACAAAATGTCCAGTTTTCTTCATTAAGTTGCATACTGTACTGACAGGGGTTAAGGTTTCACACAACTCCTGTTCATTTTGGGCGCCATGTCTCAACAAATTGTCAGATATGCAGTCAACAGCTAACAGCTTTGTCCACTTTATCAATCGAGAAAATGTACTTGATTCCACAGACACTACCCAAGATCTGATACTATTTCTTTTGTTTTCTATAAATGTGAATTGTCAGTACAATAAGTGGGGGCATAAGAAGCGGTGAAGTTTGAGCTTTTCTTAAGGTGCAGGTATGTGCATATTGGCAGCTAAGCTTCAGATTCAGCTCTCTCAGTAGATCCATGCTTCTTCATAAGAAGAAGTAAATCCTTAGAAGCTGTTGACCCACTTTATCCTCTTTGACTGCATGCAAACACTTTGGTCTTGACTTATAGAATAACCAAATGTGTTCTTGCTGCATGGTAACAGTTCTCAGAAACATGGCTCATTAATTTTTGCCAATGGGAGTTTAGTTGAAAGGATGCATCACCTTTTGTAATGTAGAAGAATACAGACCCAGATAAACATGGTATGTAAATGAAAAATCTTACCAAGACGAACAAACCCTTGTCATTTCTAGTTTCATTAGAACCAGAAAGATGAAGAGTGGTTTGGAAAGCTTGACTAAGAAGCGACTGTTCCAGTCCTACTAGCTTGTGCACTGGAAGTTCAAGAAAATGTTTGTGTAATTTTCCTCCGTTCTCTCCACAGTTTTCTCAGTCTCTGTAAATTTTGGTCTAGCTCTAGATTTCTCTTGTCAAAGTAGGACACCGTCTCAATGTGTTAGAAGATACACAAAGTTGGCTTAGGCTATTAACACCACATAAGGACTTCTAGAAATGACATAAGTGAATGATATTAGTATTAGGAGTTTGTTTGATTCAATAAAATTGACCGATGGGTCTTTTTTGAATCTATGCAGAGTATAAACTGTCGTCCAAAGTTTTAAAACAGATGACAACACTGTTCCGTTCTGTTATTGGGATAGTCTTACATGTGTGCACGTTTATGTGTGAGAAGCCTCGAAAAACTACAGCTACATTCAGTTAATTAACAAAACTTGGCAAAACGATTTAAATTCAACACATCTCACAACATTTTAGGTTCATTAAGTGCTTTGAAACAAACACACCTTGTTTCAGTCTGTAAAGAAAAGCAATTTTGTAAGATTACAGTTAACTTGTATCAAAATTAATCTTAGCTTTTAAAACACACTTTAATGACTAAATAGAAAGTCTCAAGCACTCTTGATGTATCGCTTTGTGTTTAGGCTACAGAGGTTTGGGCAGTGATGATCTTTTATCTTCATGAGGTGACGAACGCAATGCAAGATTCAACTTGTGTGTAAAATACAACCAGTAGAAATATTTTCACCTTTGAATTTCACATGAACGTTATACCTTCCATTTCCCTATTCATGTCAGAATAACTGAGACCCATCCAAAACATAAAGCTTTCATTTCTTGGATGTTTCAGTCAATCTTCAGGGCAGTTAATACAATCAGTTGAAATGTTGTGCTCTAAATACTGAGCTCTGGAGCTGCTCTCCAGCTGTTGCTTATCCTGAGGTAAAAAAAAAAAAATGGGACAAATCGACCCATAATCCCTCAGTCCCTGCATTGTTCTTGGAAAAAAAAAAAAAGAACCTGCAGCATCTGCTGAATCGTGCCCTGTGCCACGTGGGGTTATTTTCTAGAGTTCACATTGTAACATTCTGACTTAAAAGGCCTTTAATTATATATTTTGATAATTCCATTTATTATGTTGTGAAAACGAAGATATTAAGGTTTAGCAATGAAGCCATTTAGTTTTTGTTATGCAAGCAATGCTTAAAACAGCTTTTTAAGTCATGAAACAAAGCTGCAGTTGTGAAAACACGACATTTTAACACCTTATAACCATGAATAATTAAAAGCTTTTTTGTATTGCCTTATTTGTCATGCACATAAGTGGGACAGGTCCTTGCACCTGATTATTTATGTTCACAGCAGTATCACCACTTGTAATCATCAATATCAAAATCAAGCTCCTCCCTATGAAACACTATTGTCTTAAGTTGCTGATTCAAGTTTAATTCAGCTTGGATGTTTTGACTATTAATTTTTTTTATTAACATTCTCTCTGATAATGCATAATAACAGAGTAAATAATCATCTATGTATCATTATATGAACCTAAAAAAGCAGCATCAACTCATGATTTTGCCTCTTTGTTTTGCAGGTTTCCCTGATTTTCCAGGGAGTTATCCCCCCTTTCAGTGATGGAGGTATTGCAGTGTGACGGCTGCGACTTCCGTGCCGAGTCATACGATGACTTGAAGAACCACATTCAGGAGGTGCACACTGTTTTCTTGCAGCCCTCAGATGTAGAGGGGTCTGACTCTTTGAGAGAAGAGGATGAGGATGAAGAAGAGGAAAATGGGGATAAGGAAGACAGGGATGACAAGGATTACTCTCCTTCTAAAGCTGGAATGAGTATGCCACCACCATAATCAGATGCTGCTGTTATTTTATTTAGGATTAGGAATTATTTTTCTTTTTTTAGAGCTCTTGTAACATTTGGATGCATTTTTATCGAGCAGAAGTTATAAATGCCTCAGACAGCAAAAAAGTAAATTATATTATTAGACGTGTTAATGCCAGATGATTGTTAATACGTGTTAATAATATATAAGCTTCTATAACCTATCTTTCATACTTGTTTTTTTTTTTTAGGTCCCTGCTCTGCTGATGGTCCCGACCAAACATCGCAAAAACCAACTACTGAGACCCATCTTCCATTTTACCAATGCAAGTTTTGCATCCGTTACTTCCGGTCAAAGGGGTTTTTAAGAAATCACACCAAAAAGGTCCATAATGTCACAGAGGAAGATTCAGATGCAAATGTCTCCTCAGGCCCTGCTAAGGACGCCAGCTACACTGTAATAACGCACAATGATCATTCAAAAGTGTATTCCTGTCAGTATTGCACGTACAAGTCTCCCCGTAAAGCAAGGATCTTAAAACACCAACTGATGTATCATAACAAAGTTCCCTCTGGAAATCAGCCGGACGACACGGAGGCAGAGGAGGGATCTGAAACAGCTGCTGGACTCATTAAGGGAACATTTCCTTGCGAATGGTGTGACTATCAGACTGACCAGAAAGACAGCTGGACTGACCATGTTGTAAAAGAACATAGTGATAAGGTGAAGATTGTTTCCAACACTGAAAATCTAGAAGAGGAAGCAAGCGCGAGCTCACCCAGGCCAAGCACTCCAGCCTCATCCCCTAACTCGACAAGATCAAATGTGACTTTGACTAGAGAAGGAGATTCAGTTGAAAAACCAGAGAAAATGATGGAAACATCCGTTGAGGCAATCTCATCCATTCAGTATTCACATATAAGTGCAGTCACGCCCAACAGCACAGGTTCTTCTATTCTGTCTAAAAGATTTGCCTCTTCTGACGTCTCCAACAGCGTCTCACATGTGGACTCTAGCTTACTGAATGAGGACAACTCAAGAAGCAGCTTGGAAGATGACGACGAGGAAGAAGTGGGTGAGATGGATGATCCCAACTATACAGGAACTCTCTCTGCAGATGCAAAGCAGCTGTTAATGGATGGCGATAATAAATTGCTGGAAACTAAAGGAATACCGTTCAGGAGGTTCATGAACCGATTCCAGTGTCCCTTTTGCTCTTTCCTTACAATGCACAGGCGGAGCATTTCCCGCCATATTGAAAATATTCACCTTTCTGGTAAAACCACAGTGTACAAATGCGATGAATGCCCCTTTATTTGCACCAGCCCTTTGAAGCTTGGTACGCACAAGCAGAGCCACAATCCATCAGATTTAGAAACATTGGACCTTACAGGCGACAGCCCAGAGCCTCAGAATGATGGTGCCACAGAGCCACTGAACGGAGGAAATGTAACGTCCAGAATTAATGGGAAAAAGCCAACCAGCACATCAAATGACCAGCAGAACCCTCACCGCTGCACACTCTGCAGCTTCTCTACCACCACTCTAAAAGGTCTGAGAGTCCACCAGCAGCACAAGCACTCCTACTGTGATGACCTAGATTCCTCTGTCTTTGAAAGCCAGATGACTGACCAGCCAGACTCAGAAGTAGAAGCTTTTCCGATGTTTCTGCAAAAAACTCAGACATCCATATTAGGATCTGCCACCAAGAAAGCGTTAGTTACAGGAAAAAGAGCCAGGAAGTCCATAAATGACTTGCCTTTGGATCTGTCCTCAGTCAAAAAGAGAACTAGGATTGATGAAATCGCCAGTAACCTTCAAAGTAAGATAAGCCAAAGCCAGCAGGATACGATCATTAACCTAGATGACATGGATGAAGAAGACAATGGGGAAAATAACGGCAGTGGTGATGAGATTAGAAACCATGACAAAAACCCAGTCTTTGCTTACAACACGCATCTGTTTCATCAAGAGTCCTCCATCTCTCACGAGGGAAGCAGAATAGGGAAAAGAAAAAGCAACCCCAAGTTAAAACCCAGAAACATTCCAATATCCCTGACTCTCTCTGATGATGGTGAAAATATCTCAGCCAATCCAACTGATGGTACCATCAATGAGAATATGGACTATTCAGATGATTCCGGAATCATGCGTTTCTACTGTAAACACTGTGATTATCACAACAAATCGGCTCGAAGCGTTAGCACACACTATCAGAGGATGCACCCTTACATAAAGTTCAGCTTTAAGTACATCCTAGATCCTGAAGACCAGAGTGCTGTATTCCGCTGTTTGGAGTGCTATATAGAGTACACAAATTACAACGACCTGCACCAACACTACATGGATCACCACCCAGAAGCAAGCAATGTGCTAAACTTCAACCAACCGCATCTTCTGTACATGTGCCGCTTTTGTTCATACACAAGCCCCAACGTCAGAAGCCTGATGCCTCATTACCAAAGAATGCACCCCAATGTAAAAATCAACAATGCCATGATCTTCTCCAGCTACATTGTAGAACAAAGTCACAAGACCAGTGAATCGCAAACACTTAGAGAAATATTAAACTCTGGCCCCAAAAGTTTTAACTCATCATCTCCAGTGCCCAGGTCCTCATCAAGCCCGGTGCAGAAAACGGTTCCCAGGTCTCCAGAAGCCAGTGCGGAGTCTGAATCTCTCAAAGAAACTATCAGCAATGTGGTTGTTTATGACTGTGATGTGTGCTCCTTTTCTAGTGCTAACATGCACTCGGTGTTAGTTCACTACCAAAAGAAACACCCAGAGCAAAAGGCATCTTATTTCCGTATACAAAAAACAATGAAGGTGGTCTCGGTTGATCAGTCCCACCCCTTAGCAAACTCCTCCTTCAGCCCTGGGATCCCCAGCACTCCAAAACAATCTAATTTAATGGTGTATGGATCAGATGAAGAAATGTACTACTGCAAACATTGCATATACAGCAACAAATCTGTTGTGGGTGTGCTGGTTCATTACCAAAAAAGACACCCGGAAGTGAAAGTGACAGCTAAATACATCAAGCACGGCCCTCCCACTCCTGGTCTGATGAAATTAATGGATGAACTGCAAATTGCTGCTCCCAAGCAATTTTTGAAGCAGTTTCAAAATAATGGCCACGGCGGCTCCAAAAACTCCAAACTAGGAGGTGGTGAAAAAGGGGAGGAAGAGCTGTTCTTTTGCCAGCACTGTGATTATGGCAACCGCACCGTAAAAGGAGTGCTTATCCACTATCAGAAGAAGCACAGGGAGACCAAGGCCAACGCTGACCTGGTGCGCCGTCACACTGCGGTAGTGAGGAGTCAGCGCGAGCGAGCACAAATGGTCCAGTCCAACAGCGCTTCCTCTACTGCAATCTCGGCTTCTGCAGACAATGAAAATTCGACACCTATGCGTTCCCTTAAGTGCAGACACTGTTCCTTTACAACCCCCTACGTTTATGCCCTGAAAAAGCATCTCAAGAAGGAGCACCCTACTGTTAAAGCGACAGCCATGACTATTTTACATTGGGCTTACCAAGATGGCATTCTGGAGGCGGGTTATCACTGCGAGTGGTGCATTTATTCCCATGCTGATCCCCAGGGCCTTTTGCTCCATTACCAAAGACGCCACCCTGAGCATAATGTCGATTATGCATACATGGCAAGCAAGCTATGGGCAGGGCCAGAAACCACCCAGCAAGGTGGAAATATGGACACAAAACATTACAAATGTAGAGACTGTGCCTTTGAGGCTTGCTCTATTTGGGACATTACAAGTCACTACCAAGCTGTTCACTTCTGGGCCATCAAAGAGGATGAATCTGTGCTTTTGGATATAATCAAAGGGAATGGCTCTGCTGAAAAGTTCCAGCAGCAGGTTGCAAAGGAGCAAGGAGTTATGAATTGCCAGTCTGATGAAGGAGCTCTAATTATTGCCACCCCACCTCAAGAAAGCTATTCTCACCCACGCCTTTCCATTTCTAACAATCCTTATCAATGTACTGTGTGTCTGTCAGAGTACAACAGCCTTCATGGCCTTCTCACTCACTATGGCAAGAAACACCCAGGCATGAAAGTAAAAGCTGCAGATTTTGCACAAGAGGCAGACATCAACCCCAGCTCTGTTTATAAATGCCGCCACTGTCCATATGTGAACTCCCGCATTCACGGGGTCCTCACTCACTATCAGAAACGTCACCCGCTGGTGAAAGTCACCGCTGAGGACTTTGCAGATGACATAGAGCAAATTTCAGAGTTACACGAAGGAGACGACAAGTTCAAAACTCAGAGGCAGGGCTATGGTGCATATAGATGCAAAATGTGCCCCTATACCCATGGGACGCTGGAGAAACTTAAAATACATTACGAGAAATATCACAATCAGTCAGCCTCAGATATATTCACACCCTCTCTGAGTAATTTTTCGTCCTGCAGAGAAACCGAGCCAATGGCTGAATGCAGTGGCAGTAATATGTCAAGCACTGCTAAAGTCCAAGAGGTGAGTGAATTGGACCTTGCCCTCTCCCAGTTACCCATCAATAAGCCAGAGAAACATGCTGTATTCAAGTGTCAGCTCTGCAAGTACTTCTGCACCACAAGAAAAGGCATTGCTCGCCACTACCGCATCAAGCACAACAATGTGCGCGCTCAACCGGAGGGTAAAAACAATGTCTTCAAATGTGCTCTGTGCTCTTACACAAACCCTATCCGGAAAGGCCTGGCAGCCCACTACCAAAAGCGGCATGATATCGACGCCTATTACACTCATTGTCTGGCTGCCTCCAAGACCATGAGTGACAAGCCCCCCAAAGTGATCGCTCAGCCGCCATCAGATGGGGAGTGCTCAGAAATGAGCGAAGAGCTGCGTTTAGCGGTGGAGAGGCGGCAGTGTAACCTCTGCGGATTCCAGGCCTTCAGCAGGAAGAGCATAGTTTCGCACTACATCAAACGCCATCCAGGCGTCTTCCCCAAGAAACAGCATTCCAGCAAACTCGGTCGTTACTTTACCGTTATTTACGCCAAGGAGCCTGAGAAGACCGAAGAAGCCACACCTGGTGTAGAAGACAAGGAAGTGCTGGAGGTCCCTCTGGAACAGGAGGAAGACAGTGATGATGACTGGCTTCCCTTCAAGTGTCTGAAATGCTATCGCTTGTCCTTTAGCACAGGACAGATGCTATCTATGCACTACAATGACCACCACAGCGTAGATCTGAAGAGGGACTTCTTGGTGTCATCCATCCCCGAGGATGAGGAGTCAGAGTTATACGAATGCTCCCACTGTGAGTTAAAGTTTACAACTCTGCCTGATCTGGCTGATCATCTTCTGAGTCACAATGAGGAGTTTGAGAAGAGAGTTGTTAGACTGGAGAAGAAGAAGCACGTTCTTGGGAAGCAGAAAGGACCTGAGGTACAGGATAATAAACTTGAGAAGGTAAGCTTAGCAAGCTCTCTGGAATATTTGCAAATCCAATGATTATTTGCTTGAGGGGATTGTTCAGATCTTTTTATACAAGTTTCTTTTAAAGTGTTAATAGCAGTAAATGTCTTACTTGTTGAGGATAATGCTGATAGGATTTTCAGTTATAAATCTATTATTTGGTCGCAGAGACTGAAGCTAATGGGGAGTTCTAAAGACCAAATAGCTAAGGTGATTTCCATCATCTTCCAACCTAAAGCTCAAAAATCTCTTCATTGTTTATGGTAACGGACCATTATTACCAGTAATGTTCCAAATTAGCCCTTATGGGCCAGTGTCTGTGATGGTTTAGATCTTTTCCTAGTTTAACTCACCTAAATCAAATAAGTGGCGAAATACAAGGCAAGGCATATTTATTTGTATAGCACAATTCATAACAAAGACAATGCAAAGTGCTTTACACGATTAAAATACAGGAAGATAAAACAGGGTCAAAGCAAGTAGGAAAAAATAAAAATAAATAAAATAAAACAAAAAATGCAGAAACAAAAAAGAATATTAAAAACAGTTGGACTACAGAAAATATGTTTTAGTTGAACTGTTTAACTAGAACAGTCGAAGGCAATCCTAAACAAATGTGTTTTTAGTCTGGATTTAAAGAAACTCAGGCTTTCCGCACTTTTATAGTTTTCTGGAAGTTTGTTCCAGATAAGTGGAGCATAGGAACCAAATGCTGCTTCTCCATGTTTAGTTCTGGTTCTAGGTATGCAGAGCCTCAGTATGACGTTCTGTCATTGGCTCATGCAGCTATTTGAAACAGACAAGTTAGAGCAGGGAGGCTTCTAAGACATGCAGGACACTGGGCTCATCGTGCTAGTGTTGCACATACATCCTCAATTTTGCTGCCATGTTGCACTGAGCAGTTAAAAAGAAAAACTTATTTACCTAAGAATTGGAGGTCAAAGGGAATTGCACCACTAACCATCTTCCTGCTAATGTACTGAGGAGGAAACCTGTTCGCCATTTTTAGAGTAACTATCTAATGTGACAGTAAGGAGATGCTGAAATAAACAAAATAGTTTTGAATTTAACCCTGATTATATTTCCTCTTTTTCAGTCTGCTTCATTCTCATATTCAGCTGTTTTATTGGAGAACATGTTTAGTTTGCACATGTTTCACACAGGAAGGTCATTATTGGTGCATATGTAAACACTGATCATCTCTGTGAAGCCCACCAAATGCTAAATGCCTTAAAGTTCCCAAGATGCTGCTCTTTTAAAACAAATAAAATTACACTTTTTATTACACTGGAGCTTTTTAAAGACTATTGAGACTCTAGAGATCCTGCTCCTTAACATTAGCTTTGGTGTATTGGACCAACTATGTTGGATTACTAGGAGAAAAAGAGTACAAAAGACTGATCTACTGCAAGAACATATCAACTGTTTGTAATTTTTAAATTTATTCTTGCCTGAATTATTCTGAACTTCTCCTCTTTTGTTTTTAAAGCCTAACATGATAGTAACTGTTCATTTAATCAAGGTTCAGGGTTACCAGGGTGAAGAATTTTTAACTTTATCCTAAAAAAGTACATCTTTTTGAGAATGCAAACATATGACATTACAAAAGGCTTATTCGGGATGGTAGAACTAGTTATAATTATTACATGTTTCTCTTACTTATTTTTTGCATTTAAATTTATATTGTATATAAAGTGCATCAGAAATTATAACATCATAAGGTTGTTAAAATTTCTATTGATCTTATTGTTTAAGAACTGTTGCATTATTTAACTTCCTGAATAGGACATGAGTTATAAAAGGATATTAATGTACTTTGACTGCAGCAAATATTTTTCACTGCTATAGGCCGAAGGATTGTGTTTTAGTTCTCAAAGAATCTTTATTATATATAATCAAGATCCAGCCTTTGTAAATGTATCTGAGAAGGTAAACCACATGCTGTTTGTCTGTCTCCAGGAAAGCCTTACAAATAAAACCCCCATAGGATTCAGGTGCAACTTCTGCGTGGAGATCCACCCGACCCTCCGAGCAATCTGTAACCACCTGCGGAAGCATGTCCAGTACGGAGAGGCCAAACGCGGTCATGTCAAGGTGAGCAACACTGTTGATATCGCCATGATTGAAGAGTGAGAAATTCTTTACAATTGCAGCATTTTTTACTTAACAATAATATAGTAACAAAAGGTTAAAAATGCTTTCAATCACACTTTAATGGCAGTATCTTTAGATCATGAGTTAATTATCTCAACGTCTCGAGATGCTTGCGTTAACGACTTAATTGTTAGGTAATTGCGGGAATCCACTGATGGTTATCAGGATGCTTGCAGAGTGTCATGCCAGCATGCTTGGGTGGTATTTTAATCGCTGCAGAAAGTGGTTGTCTGAAAATGTGAGAAGGAAAACGGCTAAACGCATTTTTCATCTTTATTTTTATTAGAAGATGCAGATTTTTTAAGAGATTTTGAACTTTAATATTAGAAAGTGATGTTGGATAACCCAAATATTTACACATTATGAGTGTATTTTAGAACCAAGAGCAAAGTCTTAAAAAAGAAGTATTTTCCACAGTTTTTGAGTTACAAGAGAAAACCTCCATCCATCCATATGATTCCAGATACTTAAGAAGTTTAACAGCATGACATATGCATGAGGATTGTGCCCCAGATTTCCTTTAAACTCTTAATTCCTGCCCCCTCGCTGTTGTAATTGTCAACAATAAGATGTCAAACTGTTCCTCTAAGAAAATTGTTCTCCCTACAAAATGAGACTCCATGCAAATGTAAAGATTCCTGCTGTGCAAAAATCATCCAAAGACCTTATTTCAGGATGTCATAAAAGCACACTTGTCTGATCCCTGGTGAGTTTGTGTTGTTTACTGATTCTCAAACTCTGAACTGTTTTAATAGACTCGATTCTGTATTTTGTTTATTACTAAGGAAAGCTGTCAGCCTCCCTTAGAGAAAATGAGCCATGCTGTCCCATCTTAAATGAGAGGATGAAGCTGTGAGCCATAACTTTTCAGACAGTTGGGGGTAACAGTTTGTGCATTAGTATTCCACTGAGGCTGGCACAGAGGGCAACAGGCCGGAGGATCCAGCATCATCCTCAGATCCAGGCCTGACTTTATTATGAAGGAGGAGACAGACGGGCAGCATTCAGAGTGTGAAACACTGAGGGTGCCCCATATTAGCTATACAGTCTTGCAATTTGATGTCCTTTGAAATGTCTCCACATTTAGTTAAGCTCTAACCAAATACTAAAAATTTTTTAAAAAGATTTTAGTTGTCTTATTTTTGGGTGATCTGCAATGTTGTGTGTGCTTCTTTAGGCATAATCTCGTTGGTAAATATTTACCAAAACAAATTTCCACTATAATGTTGAGCTGCAGCTCGTTTGGGGCATTTTTCCACCTGCTTTGTACCTCTGAAATTTGAAAGTTGTGGTCATTGCTCCACATAAAATCAGTGAAGCTCAGTTTGGATCAAGAAAATTGTGTAGGATTATTGTCTTCACAACGTCTAATGGGGGTTCCTCCACGATAATTAGGTACATCCATCTTTTCTAAAATTAATAATTTCCGCAGCATGATGCTGATCCCGCCATGTTTCAACATGGTGAGGTGGATCATTTCTGTTTCACTCATTAACTGATTTGAGGTTTGGAGTTAATATGCATATATACAATAACATCATTCTCTATATGAGAGAAAATTATAACAAACACATTTGTAATCTTTGAAATCCACTTCTAAATCAGGATCTGTGCTCTGAAAGATGGATGCACAGCAGGCAGGGATTGTGAATTCAGGAAGTGGCTGGGCCTGCAGTTGGTGCTTCATATTTATGGCTTCCTGAAGTGCAGGGTCAGATCCTTCCTCAGAAAGAATGAGTTTTCTCCTGGCAATAAAGAAAAGAGTGCAGTGATTGTCCTTCTGCTTGCGATGGCCTTACTGACCTGCTCTACAGCTGCTGAGGAAGGTGAAGGGAAAAAGATGGAAACATTTTGTTTGTTTTTGTGGTTTTTAGATTGGAGATAAGAATTGTTGGAGCTTTAGATTATGACCTAATTCATTTCTACTAATGAAATAATAAGTATTTGGCATGCTGATGGATGAATAATAAGGTGAAATTCAAGCACCAAGATGTCTCGATGTCAATTGATTCTGGAGTATTTACCAAAATAAGAACTTATGGTGAACACAGATGAGTCAGTTTATGGATTTCAGCAAAAATTAATCAATAAGTGATCCAAAATAGCTAGAAAAATATTAATTATTTTATATCTCTCAGTATCATGTTTTGTATTTTTTAAATATTTTGTATAAGCAGTTAAAGTCGTTAAAGAATATTTAGATGTAAAAACAAAACAGTTGGTGAGCAAAACATTTCTTTGCTTTGCAGCAGGAGGTCTCTGATATCCCCCTGACTTCAAGCTCTCTAACTAACGGTGACCTGGAGGAGGACGAAGCGTCCGAAGTCGATGGCATCGATGGACACAACCCAGCCTTTGCCCGCCCCTTTTCAACACATTCTAGCAATCACCTTGCTGACGACGTTGAGCTGGAGCCCCTTGATCCGAACGTGGAAGGTGTCGAGGGTAGAGCGGCCGCCCTGGTGGCGGCTGCCAGAGCCGGGGGTCACCCATGCTCCCAGTGCGACCGGGTTTTCATGTCCATGCAGGGGCTGAGGTCCCATGAGAGGAGCCACTCGGCCATGGCTCTGTTCAGCAAAGAGGACAAATACAGCTGCCAGTACTGCCATTTCGTCTCCCCCTTCAGACACAAGTAAGTGATGAGTCATGCTCCTCATACCTAATGCTATTTCCTTCCTCTGTGTCCTGTATTTACTTCCTTGTTTCCTTCCCTATGACCTATCTTCCTCACTTTGTTCCTTTTATTTTCTTACTTTATTCTGTCGTCTTCCTTCCTTCCTTCCTTCCTTCCTTCCTTCCTTCCTTCCTTCCTTCCTTCCTTCCTTCCTTCCTTCCTTCCTTCCTTCCTTCCTTCCTTCCTTCCTTCCTTCCTTCCTTCCTTCCTTCCTTCCTTCCTTCCTTTCTGATTGTTTCCTTTCACTCATCCTTTCCTTTTGTCATTACCTTTAAATTTTATTCCTTATCTCCTTCAGTCTTTCATTTGTTCTTTTCTTGCTGTCATTTTTTTTCATTTATACTTCCTAGTTTTCTTCATTCCTCCCCTCAGTACAAAAACTTCTACCATCTAACTTTCCTTTTAACTTCTTTCCTTGTTCTTCCTATCTTCCCTCTTCTCTTCTTTATCTCATTCTGTCCTTACTAGTGCACTTCAATCTTCACCTTCTTGTTTCCTCTCCTACCTTGTACCTTTGGTTGTCCTTCATTTTTTTTCTTTATTGTGTCCTTCTGTCTTGATGTCTTTTTCCTTATTGTGATGGTTTTCTAAATCCGTACCTGTGATGTTTTCTCTCATCCTGTTCACACTTTCTTATCTCTTTCTTTGCTTCATTCCAAGCATCCTTCCTTTCCTCCTTTTATCATTTTTGTTTCCTTCTTTACTTCCTTCCCCTTGCTTTAACTTCCTTTTGTAGTTACTTTCTGTTTCAGATCTTTAAGCAGCCTCAATTTGTAAAAACTACAGAGTGTAGAAATCCATAATGTTTTTGATATGTATGTTCTATGTGTTTGTATAAACAGCCGCCATTATAAAATCAGAAGGAACCACTGATCGCTACTCAGCATGGACCTATATTTAAACACCAGTTCTCTCTTGGATATAATGGATTAAAAACTAAACTTATTTCTATAAATGTTCTGAACCTTTTATCCACCACTCTTCAGTTGGTCACCACCAGCAGCCAGCCTGCTGCTGCTGTTGGAAGCATTTATTTCTTGTGGCTCAGCAAAGCTTTGGAGTCCAGATTAAACCAGTTTTTCAGCACCAGTGAGAGTCAGGAAAAGCCAGTTGTAAGCAGCCGTTTTAGCACCAGAACTGGTTTGACGTTTGTGTTTTCTGAAAAATGGTAAATGCACCTACAGCAGGTAAGGTCCATCATCAGGAACATTATCCGCTGTAGGTGCTAATTCGTTCTTTTGCGTGTGTGGTTACTTTAGGAGAAAAAAAAGATTCTATTAAGTTGTATTAAAAAAACCTACATGCACCAGCAGACATATCAAAGAAAGTAGCCTTCTTTCCCCTACATTTTAAACCCTTTGCCCGTACACCCTCCCATTCTGACACCATCTGTCTTTCAAATCATCTAGCTGTTGAGCCCGTTTTGTTCCAAGCACAGTTTTGCACCTCGCTCTGTTTACCCGATCGCAATCCCTCCGACTCTTCAATCTTCTCTGAGATTTCCCGCCAGCTCGGAGGAAGAAGGGCAAACATTACAGCGAGAGACGGGACATTTTGGTCCTGCGATTTGTTTTATCTGCAGCAGAGACAGAGGGAGCGAGAAGGAAAGGGAGAATCCTCATCTCCTCTGAGCTCCCAGGTGTAATCCCTCTGCACTGTACATGCCCCGACCCAGAAAGAAGCTGCATTCCCGCGCCACCGTAGAGGGCCTGGCATTAAAAACACAGCTCCCTTCGTCTCTACTGAAAACAGTTCCCTACAGGGGATTGTGGGTAGATGAGTTCATCCCCCTTGGCTCAGTGTTATGGAGTCATTAGCAGATATGTTGCTGTTGGTTTTATAAACGGCATTATATTCTTCTCCTTTTTCTCCTTCTAATCCCATCCTTCCCCCTCTGTCATGTTTTGTGCCCTGACAGCCTAGACAGACATGTGCAGTCTCACCATGGCCACCACAAGCCCTTCAAATGCAAGTTCTGCACCTTTAAAACTGCCTACGCTAGTCGCCTGAAGAGCCACCTGCATAAGGCCCACACAGGTAAACACAGACCTGCATGCAGTCACATTGAGTCACTCCTTACAGCGACATCCATTAGGTCTAAACAGATTTTTTTTTATTGATTGCACAGCACATATTGTTTGAGGTCTGCTTATTGAAATGCCAAGAAGCTTATCTTTAGTAGAGATGAAATATTCCAACCCGCTGTCTTCCGTTGTACTTTCAGGAAGTTGAAATGTTCTAAACGCGATGTTCTCTACAGATAAAGCTCAATAAGGAAGTCGTTTTCCAGGCTAAACCACTTCTAGTAAAGGCACCTAACAGCCAGATCAGGCAGCAGGAAAAAGCCAACTAGACTCTGTAGGGGCATTCAGAAATATAGACAGTTATGTTTTTCTCTGCAGCAACACAAAATTGTGAATAAATTCATACAAATCAAGCACATCTGGTTGGGTGCAGTCTGCATGTTGTTGCCTTGTCCCATTGATATGTGCAATGAATATAAAATTAAATCTAATCTAACCTGATTGGCTCCACCGACTCTTAATTTGGGAGATATCAGCTTTCTAAAAATTTTTGACTGAATCCAACTACTAATAATACACATTAACTTGAAATACTCTAGCAGTCAAAGCACTTAGCTTCATTATTTGTTTGAACAGAAGTACTTTTCAATACAACATTTGCAACAAACTGTTTTCTACTTTCTTTTTGAAAAGTATTCATACCCCTTAAAATTTCTCAGATTCGTCACTTTATAACGACTAACTTCCATGTATTTCATTAAGATTTCACATGATAGATCAACACACAGTGATGCTAAATTGTGAAATGATGGGAATCGTATAAATGGGCGGCTGCAGTTTGTTCTAAACCTTTGTATTGAAGTAATTATAGCATGTAGGATCATGCAAAGGATGGTTGTTCTGCTGGACGATCAACCTCTCTCTATTTGGCAGCTTCTAACAGCTTTTCTTTATGGAATTCCCTTCATTTAACTTCTCCCTGCTTTGCAAGAACTGTGCTGATAGTTTTATGAAGGCTTTCGTGTTTGTAGGTTTGCACTTGTGCCACGCTTTCCCATTTTTAGATGATTAATCGAACACGGTTCTTTAATTGCCGTTTTATAACCTCGTCCTGCTTATGTTTTGTGTTTTCTACTGAGTTTGGTCACCTAATGTTCACCATCAGACCTTATGAGCGCTTCACAGAGGAAGCTACATTTATAAAAGAGTTCAAATTTACTGTTTAAGTAGTTTTTGAAGTCAGCTTGTAGTTTTGGGTTTAGTTTAGGGGTATCGGAGTAAAGGGGGTTGAATGCTTATGTTATCCTCACAGTTCTGTTATTCTTGTTCGTTAATAGCAATTAAATACCGCACTGGAAAAAAAATCAAAATCTAGATAAGTAATTGCTTCTTAAAATAAGTGCATTTGTTCTTGAATTGAGAAGGTAAAAGAGACATTTTGCCAATGGGACAAGACAAATTACATTTAAAATAAGAAAACACATTTATATTGTCTTATTTGAAGTGCATTTTATCTAAATATCTTATTTTAAGCATAAAATACTCATTACATTGGCAAATCATCTCATTTACCTACTCAAATGGTAAGGGTAAATACACTTAATTTCAGAAATTTGTACTTATTTCTAGATTGTTTTTCCAGTGCAGCTATCATTTTCCTTACAGTTATATGTTACCTTGCGTTGGTCAGTTACAAAAAATGCCTTATGGTTTCTACTTGTAAAAGTTTAAAATATCTCTGCTGACATTGTTTTAGCTTTCAGTTTGTAGGTTATGTCCTCTGAATCTAACCGTGTTTCCAGATCTCTGCGAAACAAATCATGTTCTTTCTGTCCAAATAATGACAATAAAAAAAAAAATAAAATAACTGAAATCTGTGACTGTTTGTTTTTCCTGCAGGTGAACAGCACACATACAAGTGCTTGTCCTGCCCCTTCTCCTCTATGACCATCAGCCAGCTGAAGGAGCATTCCCTGAGTAACCACGGTGAGGTTTTGACCCTCCCTAAACTACGAGCCGCCATCCAGGCTGCACACGCTGCTATCAGGCTTCCTCGACCGACCGTTCAGACTGAGCACGCTCATCTGACCCCAGATGGTAAAGCAACACCTTTAAAAGATATTCCAATAAATACAGGAGTATTAAATAATATAAAATGGATAAACTATAAGGTTTTCAAAAGTTTAAATGGAGTATCTTGGTTACATGGGAGTGCATAGAGGGCATAGAGCTTGGAATTCTTAGGTTCTGAGTTTGAGCCCTTTTTCTGCAACTCTGGGTCTCTGAGCAAAACCCTTAACCCCACACCGCTTCCTGGGTGCTGCACAATGGCAGCCCAGTGCTCCCCAAGGGAATGAGTTAAATGCAGAGCGGTAATTTCTCCAAGTCGAGTTCAATTATTATAATTATTACATAATAGGAAGGGGTTGGATAAAAATCACTGTCTCAGAGATTTAGCACATTAAAAAGTACTAGTTGTCTGTTAGTTTTACACGTTTCACATCAGCTGTTTTCATTTTTTTCATCCATCTTTTTATTCCTACACATAAAAAATATTTCCAGTTTGATTTCTGCTTCCAGTTTCGACTTCCATCTCTTCTTTGACGCCTTCTCTTTGTCCATACTGTTAAATGAAAGTGGCACCTCAGCTGAAGTTTGACACGCCGCTGTGTGTTGAGGTGTTGCCGTGGTTCTTCTGTTTTTTTCCTCAGCGGCGGCGTTAGCTTGCAGGCTTTTCTTGGCAGCAGCTGTCACCTTGCTGCTGGAGCTGTGGAATCTTCCCTGGAGCTCGGAACAGTGCAGCATTCCTCAGTGCACCATCCTCTGCTGTCAGCTGTGCGCTAGCAGGACAAATGAAGCATTGAGCGAGAGCAGAGCTGACATATTGAATGTCTCCGTGCTGCGTCAAACCAGCTACCTTTCGCTGAACGCCTGAAATTCAGACTGAGCAAGTCTTTTGTTCTTCGCTGTGAAGGTTGTGGATCAATTGCTTCTGTTTTTGCAGTAATATTTACCCAGATTTCCTATAAATTATATATCTAATATAATGGGGCTTTTAATTTGCTGGAGACTATGGAGAACTCCATTGTTCCTTTGCTGCTAAAACAGGTGCTCCAGCTCTGATTCATGCAGTAAACCTACAAATCATCGCTGAATTTGCTCTCTGATTTATTAATTTCCACATTGCAGACAGGATATTAAAGGATGAAAAAACTGTGGCCTTGTTAAATCTGAACTTCTTTGCTTCCTTTGCAAAAAATCTGAAACTGGATATTAAGAACAAAACAAAAACAACAAAATATAGAAAGTGCAAGCTTTTCTTATATGCTTCCTCACACTCTGACTGCTGAATTAGGCATTATCTACATGGGTACATGATCTATTGGTGTCACTTCCGTTTATTTATTGATGTGTCGGAGGCTCAAAGTAGGACGGGAGTATGCGCCCGATCACTGATATCACTAAGCCCTGGGGGGGGGGGGGGGGGGGGGGGGGGGGGCTAAAGATGAGTGAAGATGCTCATGCTTGTGCTTTTTTACCACCGGAGTTGGGATTTCAGTTTGGTGTTGCCAGTTCATGCACTGCTGTAACAGTAGGTAGATTATTTTTAGCTTATTATTTTTAGTTTTAGCTTTATGCTGAATGATTATGCAGCCAGAATTTCTCACATTTGTAGGATTTAATAATAGGTCTGTTCTAGATCAGCAATGGGTGCCTTGTTGTTCTAATGACAGCTCTAATGTGAACATATGGAATATTCTAATGCAAAGGTTTGCTTTAATTCCTCATAAAGTTTACAGCATTAAAACTGTAGAAAAAAATGTAATGTGCATTATAACATTTGTACTGATTTTGTGCAGATTATGCAAATCTGTCTGGATGCTATTTGTGTCATAAGAAAAGAATATTTTAGCACCAGTTATGATGATTAGGTTCTACAAGAGGCAATAATTTTGTAATGCGCCGAAAAATTATTTCTCAACGGAAAAATAGGATGTGAAAGAATTTTTTTTTTTTACTTAGTTATTACAATCACAAAGGAGTTTAAAATTGAATGGGAAATAAGATACCAGATTATTATTATCATTATAATTTTCCTTTTTTTGTACTTTATTTATTTTTACAATAAATGCTTAAAAGTGTGGCATGCAGCCCCCTTTATGCTAAACCTTTAACAACATTTTGCAGCAATGACAGTTGCGAGTGTGCAGAGGTTAGTTTCAACCAACTTTGCTCTCTTTAATGATTGTTGTTTTGTTTTTTTGCGTTTAGTTCTGTTAGCAGAAATTCTCCCAAGTTCTTTCATTTTAAGCTTTTTTCAAGTTTTGTCACGGATTCTGAACCTGAGGTAGAGGTTCACATGTTCCAATATGAAAGATGATTATGCTTTGATCTAAACGGTTCTGTTCTATCTCTGCCTAAGTTTATGGTTGTTGACTTTGACTTTGAACCTTTATCTGGATATTTTTGAGGACGGCCCTTTGTTTAGCTTCATCGATTCTCATTTTAACCCTGGCATGTTTCTCTTTCCCCAAATCTTAATCCCTTTTTAGGGGTTATTTTTCCTTCAATATACACCTATTTTTTGTAGAATACTATATACCGGTAATACCATTGTTGCCCTCTGGGAAAAGGCTTCACAGCATCTGCTGCAGGTTCAGTAGATTCTGCAACATCTTCTTCCCCACCGCCATCAGATAGCTGAACTATTGAAAAAACTCTAAATCATGTCACAGACTCTGCATCACTCTGATAATACCAAACCAATATACTGCACCATATATATTTAATGCTCTAAACTTCCATATCAATGCGTTATACAACATGTTTTTTCTCCCACTATGTTTACATTTGATCACTGCTGCAATTTTATGGAATGAAAATGTTCATTTAATTGGACGGTTGTGTCTTGATGGGTTTGCAGTTGTGCAATGCTGCTGCTATTTTAAAACGATAAATTGAAATCCTGGGACATAATGTTACATACCTTCCAGGGTTTTAAAAGTCTGGATACCTTCCTTCCTAGTGTGTCTGGCATGTTTTTTGGTTTTCACAATGCTATTTCCACAGCTGAATTTTCCCTCTATTGAATTTACTCATTAGCTCTCTTTTTAAGATCTTAATAAGCCGTCTCGTTTTTCTGCCACTTTCTCAGATCCATCAGACCTGGAGCCAGCTGATGTCTGTCAGCAGCTCAGTCCCTACCAGCTGGTTTCACGGAGTCAGATGTCCTCCAGCTTTCAACCCGCCGGCTCAATGGCGGGTGACAGTCGTCCAGACGGCATCCTCACATGCGAGTTCTGTGAGTTCAGCTCCGGATACATGCAAAGTTTGCGGCGGCACTACAGAGACCGCCATGGTGGCAAGAAGCTCTTCAAGTGTAAAGACTGCTCCTTTTTCACCTGCTGCAAGTAAGAAGAACTGCTGAGCCTCAATACAAATGTTCTCTCCTGTTTCAGCACATTGTGAAGACTGCAGAATCCATCTCCATTTTGCTCCATTTACCTTTTTTTTTAGGGACAACTTCTCAATGCATGTTGATGCTGGTCACCACAACAGTGGAAGTGGGGAGTTGTCTAGGGAACTGCACTGCCCGCTCTGCCTCTACCACACCATACACAAAAGCAACATGATTGACCATATTGTTCTGCACAGAGGTAGGCATACCTATTCATCAGGAGCATCATGTTTTTTTATAGAGTGGTTTTTAGATTGTTGGTGCCACTGACTTTACTTAAAACCTGAATAATGAATGATTACCAACAGTTCCTAGTTACATGTGTTTTTGACATATAATGGATTTTTTTATATTGATAAGTGTTTTGTTTAAAAGATTCATATTTAGCTATTGAAAATTCTGTAAAATGTATTATTATTTTCTCTTACATATCTTAGTTGAGATTAGTTAATCTTACCTCTAGTTTATTTAAGTTGACCTTTTCTCTGTTAAGTTTGACTCTGCTAAGTTTAAGTTTAAGTAGCCTGTTTTAGTGATTCCTAGCTTATTTTTTGCTCAGTTTAAATTGTTTTATCTTTTCTAGTCTTAGGTTAGTTTAAGTAAACTGTTTATGATTTAATTATCAAATCTCACATAAGCTGAGCAGATTTTAGTTTGTTAGATTGTTTTACCGTAGTTTATCTTGGATAACTTTAGCTCAGATTAAGGGTTTAATTTACTTTATTAGTCTTAGCTCTTTCAGTTTAGGTCAATTTTTAAGCTCATTTTATCTTTGGCTAAGCTTGGTTTTATTAGTTTTTATTAGTCTTAGCTCTTTCAGTTTAGGTCAATTTTTAAGCTCATTTTATCTTTGGCTAAGCTTGGTTTTGCTTGGTTTTGCTTTGGCTCAGTTTATCTAAGCTGAGTTAAGCTCATTGTAGGTTATCCTATTCGAGTTTAAGTAAGATTATTTTAGTTCTGAGGAGAAAAACAGACCTAATTTAAAATATAGCACTTAGTCTACCAGATAAGTGAGAACAAAGCAGCTAAAGCAGATAAAACGTGCTGCTTTGTTAAAAACAAGAAGTGTCAAATCCCACCAAATTACTAGCATACATTTTTAAAGTTTATTTGAGTTTAGAAAATCTTGTATTCCTTTTCCTGTTTAAATTGTAAAAGGCAAAATTTTCCATTAGTTCCTACTCGAAAATGTTTTCTGTGGCGGTATTTTCTCTCCTGATAAAGCTATTGTTGCGGGTCTTGCAAAGTAGACTTAATAAGAGTGGCGGCCTTGTGGTTAGGGCATAGGGCTTGGAATCCTCAGGTTTTGAGTTTGAAACCCACTCCCATAGACTGCCACTCTGGCTCTCTGAGCAAGACCCTTAACCCCACACTGCTCCCGGGAGCCCTACGATGGCAGCCCTCTGCTCGGAAAGGGGATGGGTTAAATGCAGAGAGTTAATTTTTCCAATGTGAGATCAATAAAGTTCAGTTATTATTATTATAACTCAATGTTTATATTGGCCCGTTCGACAGGACATGCTTTTGAGTCATATTCAAATTTTTAGAACTACAGTTGACAGAAATGTCAGACATGGAAATGAACTTTTTATTTTCGCTGAAAGACTGGAAGCAAGGTAAACTGTTTCCTTACATTTGCTTATATTACCGTCTCTCAGTGGTTCCCTGGCAACCTCAAGGTGGCATCAGGACTACAGGAAGTCCCACAGATCTGTTTGCTTTCATTTCTGACAGTGCAGCAAAATGTGTTATGCCGCACTGTTGAAATTTATTTAGATCTTTGCAATTCTTCCTCTTTTTTTCTCTGTAATAATTAAGCTGTTTTTCTCCATCTTCTCCTTCAGAAGAACGTGTGGCTCCTCTGGAAATGAGCCGCTCCAAGCTTGCACAGTACTTAGAGGGCCTTGTGTTTTGCTGCCACAAGTGCACCTTCACGTGCTCAAGTGAGCATGCCCTGCAGCTCCATCTCCAGAACCACGATGAGCTTAAGCCGTACCAGTGCCAGCTCTGCTACTACGACAGCAGCCGCCGCAGCCAGCTAGAGGAGCACCTTCGTGTTGAACACAAGGTCAGTTTGGGACCAGTATGTGTAGTTTTACACAACTGGTCTACTCTGTGATCATAGAGACACCTGGGATTTTAAAACTAATAGACTTAGTTTTTAACTCCAAGTAGCAAATTATTAGAGTCAAATGTTTTGACATCATTTTAACTTATTAAATAATTTCTGTGTGTGTAATTTGTGTGTTATTATAATTAATAACTGTATTGTTACTTTAACTGCCAAAAAAGTAGATGTAGGTCATCAGCCGCAGTCATTACAACAGATTATTGGGGTCCTGTTTGCAATTAGTTTAAAATTGAATAGGAAACAAAGAAGGATCTAAGATGCTGTAGAAAGGCAGATCTGTTTCTACTATTACATCAGCCTTTTATGACAAATGTACAATTTGAGATAGTTTTCTACATTTATTTTACAGTTTATTCACTGGCAGTGAGTCGACACTAGATGTTGAATCTATTTTTTCCTTTGGAATCTAAACCCTTAAAAAGCCACTATTTCTTATTAAAATACTTCTAAAAGTATTTGCATTGTTTCAGGGGGAAGCTGAAGAGTTTATAGATCAGTTGTTTTTGTTTCCCAAACTAATGCAGCTAAAACTTTCCCAGGCCTTCTTACAAATGGGATATGTGGAAATCTATCCTTCAAAATGGGTTTCCATTTTTATGCCACAGCATTGAGAGGTTGAGGGATAGCTCAAGATAGATTCTTTTGCCAGGTGTGAATAAAATCTGAGTGTTTTGATAGAGTTAATGCCGTTAAAGCATTATAGTTGAGTTTTTGAAATGGGGGGCAAAAATCTAAGTTTAAAGCAGGCCTAGGCCACAAATGGTAATGTATTTTCACTAAACAAATAGAATAAACATGCAACAATTTCACAAAAATTATGCAGGAAGAATATATATATTCTGGTTACAAAAGATAGAATGATGTCTTGTCTTTGTATAATCAAAAATAGTTTCCTCCTATTTTAATAAAGGCCAGTTCTGAAAAGTAACCTCTTGTTTCTGATCAGGTTATCCGTAACTTTGAGCTGATGGGTCGAGTCAATCTGGACCTGCTGGAGATGTTAAATGAGCAAGAGAGCAGCGTAGAGGAGGAAGAGGAGAGTGAAATTATGGAGATGGTGGTGGACGGAGAAGCCAACATGCAGGAGGAAGAGGAAGAGGTGGATGATGACGACGATGAAGGAATGGAAATCATTGAGAACATGGTGGATCACCAGGAAGAGATGGACGATAAAGATGTGGAGGAAAACATCAAGGAGGAGGAGAATGAGGGGTTGGATGAAGAGGAGCAAGATGAGGAAGAGCTGCAGGAGGAGGAAGACGTGGAGGAGGAGGAACAAGTTAAGGAGGTGATGAAGGAAAACCCTGTTCTACAAGGTACTAATCCACATCAAGGAAAAATCTTCTGTAACATATTTATGAAACATCAAATCAAATCATTGAAACAGGTTTAAAAGATTATTGGATGTACTTTATTGTTTCATTATATACAGTCAAGATCTTCTTTGTTAGCATGATAATGATGATGGAAATGATAATTTGTTTAACATTTCCATCTTTGGGCTGCAGCAGAGCAGCAATAATCCCAAATATTCAGAATAGGTTTAATAAAGAAAGGAGTTTTACATTTATGAGTTGTAAGCAAGTCTGTTTCCCCGTACCTTAGTGAAATTTGGTTATTGAATGTAACTTCATTTATTAGCTTGCACTCAGCACAGTAAATTAAATCTCAGAGAAGAATGATCCCAGTTCAGTAATATGCATTTAATGTTTTAAAGAGTAGCTGCCTCTGTTATATTTGATGACTACAAACGACCGTTGAGGAAGACGAATAACTGGGAGTGATGCAAGGGACAAACAAACGGAGCAACACAACCCAGAGTCTTACGAGCTCACTGCTGCAATTTGAAAAAAAAAAAAAAAACTTGTTCGTAAGATCTGGATTTATCAACTAAAACAATACATGAATGTACCAGAAGCAGCAGTACATGGAATTTAGAGCAACGTTTGCCTTTGGGCTGACATTAAAATCCAGATAAGTGTTTTTAAAAGAGTGAACAAAAGTTGTGACATGATCACCGTTTACTTTTTTTTTTTTTCCCTGTTATCAACGACTCATATCATCATGTGTTTACTTACCCCTAAAGTTGAATATTTTTTTCAACTCCATTTCCCAGAGGTCCTTGCTTCTCCCAGCAGCACCAGTTCCGGGCAAAGCGGTGGGGAGAAGCGACTTCCCTGCGAGTTCTGTGGCCGCTGCTTCACTAACAGCCTGGAATGGGAAAGACATGTCCTGCGGCACGGCATGTACGTCTGCACGCTGCTGTTGTCTGTCTCTGTAATTTCCCTGCAAAAGGGGACTAAACCAGTACATGCCACATGCTAACCTTTAGTGTGGAAAAAAAGGATTTAGGGTTTTAAAAGTCTGGAAAAATATGGAACTTAATTTAAGTATTTCTCAGGTTTCAGGGGGAAAAAATGGAGCATGGGAAAAAAACAAAAAAGAAAGCATCTCTCATGTTCAGCTCTAAAAATGGGCCAAAACCGGACTTGGAATTTTGCTAAATTCAGTATGAGTTTGGCTTCCAGTATTTGTGTTAACACAGTTAAGAGATGCAACCATTTATTAAACCTTTGTCCTATATGTCCCTCCTTTATCTTCAGGGTAGTTGAAAACATTCGCCATGACACCAGCTCTACTTCAGCCATGGACGCCTCAGCTCCGTCCTCAAATGACTCCTCTGCTAACGAGGACTCAAGACTGGACCTGGCTGGTTACGACAAAGAGGAAGAACAACCTGCTGATCTCTCACTGACTAGTCAAAGCCAGTATGTGGAGGACAAAGAATTGCTTCACACCAAAAAGGATCAACAGTCTCCTTAAACTGATTGTAGCGTCAAACGGGGGAGAAAAAAATGACGCAGACATCTTTTGGGAGACTGAAAATGGAAGAAAAGTGACTTTTTAATCAGTTGGTGCATTAGTAGTTTTTTTTTAGGTGTTACATATATAAGTATTAGGTTGTGCTGCATAAAAACGTCTGAGCTCTTTTAAATGGGCAGTCCCCTTGGACAGAACTTAATATATTGGTAACCAATAGTGAACAGAACTCTTTTATCGCTGACATTCTGGTCAAATCCACCGTGAACGACCCCTACCTTGATGAAACTAAGCTATTTATGAAGAACATTGTCCAAATCAATGACTTAAAAGTTTGCATTTTATTATTTCAAGCATCTTTTCATGCTCCTGCCCCCCCCCCCCCCCCCCCCCCCCCCTGCTTGTCCAGGTTTAGTGAATTTTAACTTCAAACCAACGGTGGGTAAAAGAGTCGAAATGTTTCCCCTACTGAACAATTCTTTTTTTTTTTTCTGGGTGAAATTTGGGACTTTTTTTCCATATTGTGTTAAATATGTAGGAATATTCCTTTAGAAACAATTGCACCTTACCTATGTTCATAAAATACAAAAAAAAAAATGTTTCCTTCATTTTAGAGATTTTGAACATCTTCCCCTGCCTTTGTAGCAAATTGCTATAATCTAGCTCCCTTTATATGATATTATACTGAGTATAAGCCTTCAGCCTGTGATGCCCAGCTCCTTTGACCTGTACTTATTGTTTGTTCTGTTTGTCGGTAAAATAACACAACTCCTTGTTATCCCTGTCAGATCTTACGTTTATAGAGCTAGAGATATGTTTCAAGTGTCATAACTGTAGCCATATCCGTTTAAAAATGAGCAACAAGTGAATAACAGGTTTAATGAAAAGGCCTCTTGATGAAGGCAGATTACACTTGTCTTTTTAGTGTTAAATGTTGGTTTGGGTGTTTGCAAACCCTTCTGCAGAGACCCAGACAGCATTAACCCATCCACAGGTTCACCGGGTTACACCTCAATCAGAATCAAACCCCAGTAGGTTAAGTCCTCAGCTGCGCTTTCATACCCAGTGCCTTAGAAAACAACTCATCAAACAGCAAATGAACTAAACGGCGATTCAACAGCTTTAAAGTTTAATACAAATTCACATAAATTGAACAACAGAAGTAGCAACCGATGCTACTTCTGTTGTGCGCAGAGTAAGCCCTTTTGTTCCATCAAGGTTAAAAAGATTGAATAAGCATAATTTCAGTGGCAATCCTTGAAATGTTAATAAATTGCTACACATATCGAGTCCTTTCTTGTTGCCATCCTGCCAAGGGACTATGTACACCAGCTCTAACCTCTGCTTGGTGAAAATTCCCTACAGATGGGAGACAAATACATATGAACACTACCAAGAACTCCCACTTTCTCTCCTAGCTTTTGGCCTCTATGTACAATATGGAGGTGTGCGCTCTTATGTTTTCTTGTATGCTCTTGATGACTAAGGATGGTCCATGTCAGCTGAGAAGTAATGGTGTTTCTCGCAAAAATGCAATAGCAGGACCCTCTGTGACAACTGCTGCTACCAGGCTCCTCAACTCATCTGCCGTAAAAGCTCTGTGGGCTAGTTGCTATGGCTACTAGGTTTGAAAATCTATTTTGTTGTCATGATTATTGATTTAACTGGCTGTAATATAAATGGTGAGGCTTAAACATTTTAAAGTAATTTTGTGGGGGGTGGGGTGAAAAGGAAATAACTGTTTTTTGAGGAAAAATATTTGTCAATCTTCCGAGGACCATTTGGAGCTGGATTAGCAGTCAGTTTGGCCATCCAAATAACTCCTTTATATATATTTTTTGCTTGCAGTGGGTCCTTTAAAGTCGTATCGTCAAATGTTAAGTCGAAGTAAAGGAATTCACTAAAAAGACTAGTGTAAGCAAAGCCGAACGTCCCACATACAGATAGAACTGACTGTTAAGGAGTTAGAAGAAAACACTGCTAAACTCTTATTCTGTGTTGATAAACATGTAGTAGTCCACATCTGTGTGCTTTTTAATATTTTTTTTTCTTTTGGTAAATGGCCTGTATTTTACCATTTTTGTATCTTGTTGATCTTGAAAAATAAGCAGAGATTGTATTTGTTGGTAAGCTGCTGCTTAAATGCCCTTAAGCCTTATGAGAAAATTAAGTTAAATTCATGGTCAATTCGACAGGAAACGGTGAAGAATCTGTGATTTAAAAAAAACAGCAGATAGCTCTGATTTTCTTTTTAAAAATATTGAGGAGCACAACCAATGGGATTGTGTTTTGGGTACCAAAATATTTATGAAGCCTGCTGTGTTTGCTGCTGTACTTGTTTTTTTTTGTTTTGTTTATATTATTTGCAATGAATTGTTGATGGAGATAGTGAATTTCTGGTTTGGACCTTAGAATCCAATGTGTAGGACAGATAAAGCTATGTTAGCAGCCATGTATAGAAAACAAAACTCATTTTTTTCTTTAGTGTAAACTGTGATGTTTCAGAAAGGATTATTTAACCCCTTTTTTTTCATTTTTAATGTTTTTATTTTATCGGGGAAGAAAAAAAATGAAGATAACCTTAAGAGACTCTTAAATCTGAAATCCAACATAATTAAGCTGTTGTTAAATGTCTGGTTGCTTTTTTTGTGTAGGAAAGGAAAAGAAAGGAAGCATGAAAAGAAACTTCTTGAGTTATCGGGCAGTTTTTCTGGCGAATGAAGAGATGATGCAAACAATAGACCACCATCTGGGTTTCCAGTCAGCCTATAGATGTAGCCAATCCATGTCACCAAAAACCTTGTCCCTCCTCTGTTTTCTGTTTGGTTACCAGATATGCTGATGACTCATTTAGTCTATTGGTTACCCGCCCATAATCTCTCAATCTTCCCAGTCAACAACAGGTGAAGGCAGCAGCCCTTATCATCTCCTCCGCTCTTGAAATTTCTTAAAACCAGTTGAGCTGGTGCTGAATCTTGAAGCTGTTCTCACATCATTTTGCAGAACCAACTTGTGTCTATCCCCTGAAAGGAAAAAAAAGAAGAAAAAAAAACATTTGATAGTAGTCGTCGTAGGAATACAGTTTTATCGCCCGGCCTGGCGTCACCCAGAGGAATCTGGACGAATGCGGCCATGAAGCTGTCGGCCCGGTATTGTCCGTTCTGTGATGATCGTTAATGAATCCTTCACTGTGTTCTTGATCCAGACTGTAAATCCCCCACTTTACTAAATGTTCCCGCCCCTGCTGAAGACACACTGGATACTTGTATATATGTTTAGTTTGTTTTAAAAAAAAGCATTTCTCTTTTCAGACTGTTGTCTCCATAGTTTGAAACTAGAATCTCTCCTTGCCTTTTTTTCCTATATAAATCTGATTACCTGATGGTGGGTTGTGATGTTGCCTAGAATGATTGTTTACAATTTTATTCCATTTATCTCTGGATATTCTGTAAATATTGTAATTCATTGTCTTTTTTTAACTTGATAATAAAGTTATCAGAATACAGACGATTGTCTTCCTCGCCGCTCAAACTCATCCTTAAAAATCCAAATCATGTTATTGAAATATTCCATAAAATATGCTGCTTTAAATTGTGAAAAGCTTTCAAATTTACCTAAACTCAAATATTAATTCCTCGAGAACCGCAAAGTTTGCACATTTGAACTGCAAACTTTTAACTGAATACATTTTAGAGCAACACAAATTAATGTAGAGTTTTTTAAAAAAAATTGGTGCATGTCTTTTGCAGTATGTCTTTACCAATTTTCTCTTGTTTTTTAGCGTGGTTAGCTTTTTCAAAACGGCTCCTGCTCAACTTTGCTTGAATGCAAATATGTTGGATGCAGTTTTAGGGCTGGGATAATGGGATTGAAGGCAGGGCTGAAGGCCACCAGTGGGATCCTGTGGAATACAGGATGCATATACTGTATTCATCATTATCCACTGACCTGTAGGCAAAATGCAGGGGCAGAAGTGGGCCTGGGATGGATGTAATGTTTGTCAGCACAAGGATTTCTTTACCACAGAGGTCTGGGAGACAAATCTATTATTTTAGTTGTTTTTTGGGGACAGGGATGATGGTGGAGGCTTTGAAGCAGGCTGGCATGTTTCCTATGAGCTGTTCTAGATAATGGAACACCAGATACAGCTGATCATCATAGAGCTTTAGTCTTTAACAAATGTTCCCAGTAACTGTAACCACTTCCATGTCGCTACTGGAAAAAATGATTCCAACAGCATGATGCTGCAATCGCCAATGGGACTTCTTATAGAGTTCTTTACAACAATCCTTTTCTTCTTTATTTGATTTTAATCCTTTTAAGGCAAAGGTTTTGCTGCTACCTGAGTTTAGTTTTTTTAATCTCCTTAAGATAGATTGTTCTGTAAGCATGCTGACCTACCTGCAGCGGGCTTTGGTCTTTATGATGAGGTTTGTTGTCTTATATTCTAAAAGAAACCTCAGAGCAAACAGATTTTTACTGACATTTGATTGGTTGGATCGCCTTTGGAGATACCAATTCCCTAAGGCTGGGATATTTTTTTATTATTCTATCCCCTAACAAAATGAAATGTGTTTTGTTTTCATCTTACACTTTAAGTTTATTGGATCCATCACAGAATACCTCAGTAAATGTGCAGATCCTCTAGAGCAGGGGTCTGCGACCTATGGCTCCGGAGCCGCAAGTGGCTCTTTAGACGCTCAACAAAGGCTCTTCACTAATAAGATTAATAATTTGAACAAAAGATATACAAAAAAAATGCGTGTTTTAGTATTTTCCCCACTGTCCAATTGCATTCAATTTAAAAAAACAGAAATATATTATGTTAAATGTTTTTTTAAGTCAAACAACTTTTTTCAACATGATTCCCAAATATATTAGCAATCTGTTCTAGATATGTATAAAAAAAAGTTATATTTTTTATTCCTTTAAATAAGGTCATGTAATGTTTGAGATTCACATTTTTATTTTTACAAAATAAATTGACTCTAATTCTAATAATTATTTAAAGAAAAAATTCATTAAGTATATTTTCTGGATCTGAACTAGTTTTATCAGCTGGATAGAAGTCCAAAAGTGTTCTTCAGATTGTAAAGGTTGCAAACCCCTGCTCTAGAGGTATGAATACTTTAGCAAGTTGCTGTTTAAGGTCTGATTTTAGGCGTACGACCTCAAAGTCCTTGCTCTTGGATGGAGAGCATGTTAGCAATTACCTTATACCCTTCCAGTCATCTGTTTCCCCTTGCAATGCACTCCACGCCCTGCAAGAACCCTGCTGACCAAAACCACACTGTGTGCTTAAGCGTGTTTGGAAATATCTGTTCAAGACACATGCATGCAATGCTGCAGCGCAGATGTTTCAGAAAATAAAACTACGTTGTGTAGAGTTGTCTTTTTCTACCCTGCACTTTTAAGAGGGGGCTGAGTCCTTATTTCACATGTCTAACATCATCTCTTAAAAATATCTCAGAGTCACCAGAGATCAGACTGTAATCTCTGCAGCTCTCCCATTCGGAAGAGGCCGATGGCAGACTGACGACCCCTGGAGACTAGAGTGAGGGAGACAGTCACAGAGGGAGAGGAGAGGGGAAAAGAGGACAACGGTTCTGCTGCTGAGTGGAGCAGCATAAGGAATGCCTGATGAGAGGATGCACAGGCCAAGGCCAGTGAGGGCACTGCTCCTTCTGTGATAACTGGATAGAGGCGGGGGATGCAAGAAGAGCAAGACATCCAAAGCAATGAAGAAGGACAGAAACAGAAGAGGGAGATAAGAATGGACAGATTGGTTTATCCTTCAAAACAAAAAGTACTAGACAAGGTTGCAGAAGACTTAAAATGATTTATATTTTGTACTTCCTTAACAGATAACTCGACAGCAGATTTTCTAAAGACTGCAGTATGTAAGAGCTTTGAATATAAATAGACCATTTTCATTCCTAGGAATAAAAGGGGTTTAAATGGATTGGATTGTAGAACCTTTTGGGGTTGTTTTCAGTCGCAGCACAAATACAATCCAGATCTGCAGACCTCTAAAGGTTGCCTCAAAGGTCAGCCAGAAACACCAAGCATCAGTCTCCCTTTTCTGTTTATTCCAATATAATACTCATTCAAATGAGGAAGTTAGCAATTGTAATTAATTTATTAAGTGCCTTAAAAACCAAAGTCCTATACACACAAACTAATTCAATGATAAAAATAATAAAAATACAAAAACAATAAACAAAATACAAGGTTGAGGGCAGGCCCAGTACCTTGTGTTACTTAGAAGCCACATCAAGCGTAAAACACTCTGTTTACTTCTGATGGTGGCAACTTGTGTCAGAGTACAAAAGAATAAAAGAAATCTGCTATGACAGAATGTTATTGTTCACTCTTTTACAATTCTGAGGTAGAAACCACACATTTGCAATGGTTTTCTACACACACATCATTGCCCAGACAGTCAAAATGCCATCCCGCCTTCTCTTATATCCTCAACACTTCTACTCGGTTAGACAACAAAGCACATTCAAACAAAAGCTTTCTATTATTTATCTTTCAGGCTGATTTCTTCCTCTGCTCCTCCTCTATCCGGTCTGGAGGATGAAATTGAATTAAGAGTAGCTTGAGTTTAGCAATATGACAGCTGCGGGGTAAAAACCGATTCTGAGCCTGGTAGTCTTTCTCTGGTTGCTCCTCAGCTGCTTGCATGAGGAGAGAGGTTGGATTAGTCTGTGTGCAGGATGGCTGGAGTCTTTAATGATGCGGAGCACCCTCTCCCTGCATCTTGATGAGTACAGGAATGATACCTACTGTCCTCTGTGCAGCCTTAATCACCCTCTGCAGAACCCACCTCTCACCATCTGCTGTGCCACACTGTGATGCTGGTGCAGAAAACGCCCACTGCTATAAAAGGTCCTAAGGTCTGAGCTCCTGAGTCCAGCTCTAGGCAGCCTTCTGATGAAGTATAGATGCTGATGGGCTTTCCTGACCAAACAGGACGTGTTGGCAGTCTAGTAGAGGTCACTGGATAAATGCAACGCCAGGTACCTGTAAATGGAGAAAACCTCCACAGATGCTTCTATAACTTAAGGCTATGGAGAGGCTCCTTGTCACTTCTGAAATCCAGCATCTCCTTAGTCTTCTTCACATTCATACAGAAGGTATTGCCTCTGCATCACTGCACCAGGTGTTTAACCTCCTTTCTGTATATGGAGTAATCCCTGTTTATGACACCCCCCACTACTAAGTCGTGTGCAAATGAAACTAAATGACACTGGGGTGTCTTGCCGAGCAGTCATATGTCAGCAGCCTAAACAGGTGGGAGCTCAGCACGCGGCACTGGGGCAAGCTAGTGCTGAGGGTGATAGAGGATGAGATGGTATTGTGGATCGTGACAGTCTGAGGTCTGTTGGTCAGGAAGTTCAAGACCCAGTTCCCCCATGTTGGACTCGGTAAAAATAAGTAGCACTTCCACACGTAATAGCCGGTACTTTTATAGCACTATTTTAAGCAATTATGCTTTACACTACATTCAGTAATTCATCTATTCACTGATTCATATTCACACTTAAAGTGGCAAGCTAAATTGTAGCCACAGCTGCAAGGGTGCCGTAATGACCACCATCATTAGGCAACAACAGAGAAGCCAGGGCTGGATCTTAAGTGGGCAATACCCCCAGTTCCAAGGCAAGCCCCTGCATCCAATGCCACTGTTGCCTTTGTGTTTCCGTAGACACAAAGGTCTGTGCACTGATGGTGTTGGAGTCCGAGGAGAAATCCAGGAAGAGTAGACAGATGTAGGAGTGGGTGAGGGCTGTGTGGACCACTGATGAGATGGTGTCAGTGGTGGATTGGTTTGTCCTGTAGATGAACACTGACAACGATGGAGTCCTTGATGTGAGTCATAACTAGGGCTGAAAGTTTTTGCCAAAAATCTAAATTGCAATCTTTTTCAGCCAATGTTGCAATTGCAGTTTTTTTGAAAACATTTTTCTACTTGGCTAAGCACAACCATGAAGATGTTTTCATTCAGGTTTTCATTTTTCCTTGACCTTGAAAGCTTGCTTGTCCAGGAACTATTCTTGCAGGAGATGTAATGTGAGGAAAAGCATGTGCCTCTGCAATTTGAAAATGACTAAATTGCGTTTATACCGCAAATGCAATTAATTTCCCAGCCCTAGTCGTGGCTATCTTCTCAAAGCACTTTGCAACTACTGATGTTAAAGCTACAGGTCGGTAACCATTCAGGCCTGTCACTTTGGAGTACTAGGGTACATGGACCATAGTGGCAGACTTTAACCAGGTTGGGACACTTATTATATGGGTATTATAATACCCATGCCATATTCTTTTCTTCAGCTACCACAGTATACATGTCAGATTAAATAATACTACTTATACCCCAGCAACAGTATCAAGGCGTTACTTTATTGTATCTCTTATAATATATCCGTTGGTTGTGCTGTTCTTTTTACATCTCTTTGCAGGGTCAAGATGTTTTATCATTATCTCCCTTTTATCTCC